GGGAATACGGATTACGGGATTCATTCAGCCCAGGTCTTTTTAATATAGGACACTCATTTACTATCCCTTATAGTACGGGGATACGGATTACGAGATTCACTCAGCCCGGATCCTTGTAATATAAGACACTCATTTACTATCCCTTATAGTACGGTGATACTGCACGTATAAAGATAATTGACCAAGGTAACAGAAAAGAATTTTATTAAAAACCATCATTGCCTCAAGGCTTATTAAAAACAAGATAACACGTGAGGGAGCTACCCTCCATTTAAAATGATTAACTAAGATGCCCCCAGTCTTTATTGTGAATAACTTGATAAGGCTAATTCCAGCCGTGAGACAATTTCTAGTCGGTATACTCATCTGAGTCCTTCTAATGATATGTGCTATTGCTCTGGCTAAAGAATGATTTCTTATATTTGGTATTATTTTCATCCCTGGTGAGAGGAGCTGGCCTCTTCTTGTCTTCTCCTTCCTTCCGTGCACTCATGGTGTCTTTAGCGTTGATGTGTTTTTGCGCTCTGATCAGCAACTCTATCATGCTGGTGGGAGGTTCTTTTGATATGGAGAACAAGAATCTGGAGGTTTGGAGTCCTCCTATGAAAGCGGTCAAAGCTACCTTGTCGTCCACCTCTTCTACCTGCAACATCTCTGTATTTAATCGGGTGATGTATTCCCGAATCGACTCTTCCTTTAGTTGCTCCACGGTAAACAGGTAGGTAGCTGGCCTCCTATGCCTCTGACCTGCAATGAATTGGCTCATAAACTGCTTACTCACTTCTTCGAAGGTGTTGATGGTTCCTGGCTTCAGCTTGTTGAACCAAACTCTTGCTGATCCCTTAAGTGTAGTGGGAAAAGCTTGGCACATGATTTCATCTGGCACAACGTGTAAATGCATAAGAGCTTGAAAAGTTTCTAAGTGATTGAGGGGATCTTTGGTCCCATCGAAGCTTTCGAACGAGGGAATCCTGAACTTGCTAGGTAGTGGACATTTCATAACGGCGGGGCTGAACGGCAAGTTGGTCCTTTGTACCAGGTCATCTACGGCGGCAGGACTTTTCCCTTTCATAGCCTGCATTACATCTTCCATTTTCCCCTTGAGATCCTCGATCTGTAGGTTGAGATAGGTAACTTTCTTTGTCTTTTCCTTAAGACAGAAGGCTGTGCTTTCAGGAGGTCGGGAACTCCGTGGGAGAGATGGGTGGACCACCTCTCTATGTCGGGTTTCCACCTGGCTTTGTTTCACTTTAGTCTCATTTTGGGAGGGATGATTATCCTGCTCTTCAAGATTCCCATTACCTCCGTTTGGATTTGAGAGATCTTGTCATGGGAACTTTTGTTGAACTGGTGGAACAAGATGTTGCAGGAGCGCTGCATTTTGCTGGATCAATTGATCCATACCTTGACTCAGAGTTTGGACCTACAGTTCCAACGCTGCAAGCCGTGTCTGGTCGTTTAGGACGTCCAGGTTTTCACCCGACTCTACCCTTTAACCAGATCCCTGCGACGGCTTTCCTTCGGTAACCATACCGGACTGCAAACATATATAACTAACAGAGTAATTAATTGATTCAAGGGAATCGTTGTTTCCACAGACGGCGCCAACTGTTAAGGGTGAAATTCACACAGTTCAATACGACACCGTTTACTTGTAAGGGAAAGAGGAGAAGATCGATGAACCTTGACAGCACTGGTGTGGTGCCTACCAAAAGCTCTCTGACGATCAAGTTAGTCACTGAAGGTCTAAAAAGAAGACAGGGATTTAATAATAGTTTTTTCATCGTACCTTATTCCCGAGTCGTCGTCCTATTTATTGTCGCTTCCCTTCTTCTCGATAAGGGAATTTCATCATCCTTATCCCACGGAAATCTTATCCTTCATAAGATTTGTCACCATCCCCATGGAAATCTTATCCTGCATAAGATTTGTCATCATTCTTATCCATGGAAATCGCTACCCCTAATAACAAAAAATTATCGTTGATCACCGAAAAGATCTGGCGGCTGGTCAACACTTGGTTGACTCTATTGTTAGGTCAAGATAGGTTTATTTTTCCCTATCAATAATTATAAAGTTATAATTATTTTTTAAAACAAAATTATAATTATAAATTTATAATTATTTTTAAAAATTATTCTTTATGCATATTTCTCATTGTGTACACCAAAAAATATATATTTCTGGAGAAAAAAGTGAGATAAAGACTTTTAGGGGCGATAGAGTAATAAATGATGACAATTTGATTATTTTAGGTTTTTGATATTTTGGATTAAAATAGATTAAAAAATAGGGATAAAATTGTCATTTTGTACATTTTTTACGGAAAAGGAAATTGGGGTTTAAATGATAGTTAATTTCAAAAGATGTTTGAGGATGATATTTGACCAAACCTGAGAGGATGTCAGTGAAATTAACCCTATTTATTTTACCACATTCACAAGGGATTTTAGTTGGAAATGTTGATATCCTTCTAAAATAATAATATAGATAATCTAAAAACTTTGAATGATTCACCATGTATTGAGAATATGCTGCATCAGTTTATGAATTTTTTTTTTTTAATGATCTTACTAAATTTTCATAGGTTCCATAGGTTCAAATTTTCAGGTTCCATAGGTTCATGCAAATATAAATTTCATGTTGTGATTGCTATGTTGAAAGTAGAAGAAATGACACCCGCTCGGGAGCTGGACCCTACCGACCATGTCATTGGGTAAATTTTATTTATTTATTTATTTTATTTTTTGTGTCTGTAAGATATAATTCCATTCATAGCCATGGGCCTGTTTGTCTTGCTTTTATTGCGGTACTCTAAAAGCGTCTCCAATAGGGCTACACAAAAAAATTGGTGGAACCAGAGAACCGAATAGAACCGAACCAAATCGAATTGAACCGGTGATTCAATTTCAGTCCTACACCAGTACAGTTATGATTTCAGACCCTTTGGGATCGAACCAAACTGATTATATTTTATGTATATAATATATATTATTTTAAAATTATACAACATTCTGAATCTTCAACTATTTCTAATGCTTTACCATTTCAATGTTTACATATATATATATATATATATATATATATATATATATATATATCTAGAGAGAGAGAGAGAGAGAGAGAGAGAGATCATTACTTCATTAGCCCATAATGATTCTTGCAAGAACAGTTTATAAGAATATTTATTAAAGTGAGTTAGACATACTAATTGACGGAATGAATGTAATCTTCAATAAACATTTATGCATTAATTTAAATAACATATCAAAAGTATAACATTTTTTTTTGAAAAAATAAACAATTTATTTTTCAAATTTTTATAATGGGAATCGTGGAATAGAACCGAACCAAACCAGTCTTCACTGTTCGGTTCGGTTCCATGTCCCAACAGTTCCAGTTCCAATTTTTTAAGAATCTTTGGGAACGGTTCGGTTCCAAATCCATCAAGAACCGTACCCAATCGGACCGTGTGCACCCCTAGTTTCCAATGCTTTCTTAAAACTCCCGTCAAACTCAAAAAATAGGCAAGCTTCGATCTTCTCTTAAAAGTCTCTGTCTCGTCTCTCTCTCTCTTGTATAGCATTTTGTATTAGACAAATTGAGTGGTTTAGGAGATTAAGTGAGCAGGGCAAAGTCCAGATCATAGTTGAAGCTGGATGTAAAATATTACATATATATATATATAACCTGGTTCTTGCTCTGTTTATATAATTTCATGGATTAATTAATAAACTTTTGGGCATATATCTATAGTGTGTTAATTTATCTGGAATTTATTTTACAAGAATGAAAGCAAAGTGTATATGGGTGTGAAAAACTCTTCTTCTTGCAATTTTGCAACAGTCTACACATTCACATCGGTGGTTGTTGGTTGAGAATGTGTTGGCAGTCACAAAATCCTAAAGCATGGACCCAGGCCTTACCAACTTTAATAAGAGAAACTTTTAAATGGTTTTGGACCATTTGATATTTGGTAACCTAATTTAATAAGAAGTAATGTTGAGATTTTCTTGTGATATATTACTACACTGTTGTGGCACTATTTTATCAATAGGATAATCTAAATTGAAGTGGTCCACTCGAATACTCGATAGGCCCACTCAGCAGTCCCAAAAAGCTTGGTTCACTTGTGTTTACACCTGCTCAAATTTTATGCATATTAGTTTTTTTTATCAATGTATATGATGTAGGCTGAGTCTTGAGGTAATTTTTATCATTGTATAACCTGGTTATGGCTTTGTTTTTATAATTAATTCATGGATTAGTAAGTTTTTGGGCATCAGAATGGATACACCAAAAGCTTCATGGATCATATATTTATACACAAATATAATGCATCCATATAGCAAAAATAATAAAATTAGAAAAAGTAGACTTGGGTGCTTTGTATGGTTATGTTCAAGGTCCGATTGTCAAGGTACGCTCCCCTTTCTTCTCTCCTCCTCCTCTTCTTCTTCTCCATCCTCTCTTTCTTTCTCTCTCTCTCTCTCCTCCTTCCTCCATTGACAGAAATGGCCAAGAAGCCCCGTTAGAGGACAATTTTCCACAAGACTCATTTTCTTTCAAAGATTTAATCTTTATACATTAAAATACTCTATTGACTTCAAAGTTACCCCTATATGTCAGTGTGATGCACTGAGTTCACCATAGTCAAGGATAATTCATAGGTCCGATGATACACCGATAAAAATGGAAAGAGTTGTTTGTGCAGAAGGTAACAGACGCCAACCAAAATTCACTGTGCGATAAAGTAATTAAAAGTGACTTTGAAAAATCTAAATTTAAGATAGAACGTGATGTATAATAGAAAAAAATCCTAAAAGAAAATTCATATGGCAGACCCATCTCTAAGGAAATAAAGACAATGATATGATGATGATGACAACAACCGTATTAATTTATCAAGAATTATATATAATTTACCGTTCAAATAAGAAAAAGAGAGTACAATACACAGAAGGTGTTAAATTGTTAATCAATGTTCTCTTTGAATTTAATTAGATCTTAGACATGGAAACAACCAAATTAGTGTACTTGGTCCTGTTTTTGGACAAGTGATCATCCACAAAGTCACTGTATCTCCGAAACAAATCATCCATGATGTGTCTTCCAAAATGACATTCGAGCATGGACTCAACCACGGCTCTAACCGTCTTGGCCACGCTCTGACCACTTGATACTAGTGTCCCCTGGTCTTGGTCACCACCATCCCAATCAATTTCAAAGGACTCCAGGCGATATATGAGAAATGACCCCTCTCGTTCAACCTCATTTTTCAGTTCTTCTGGGCTTGGTGTATAAAAAGGGGCATTGAAGGAATCAATCTTCTCCTCTTGAACAAGAACCTGCAAAAATATATTGCCACTTTTAATAAGAAAATGCTCAATTTTTTTAATTTTTTAATTTTTTTTGGAGAAACATAAGAGATTATGGTTGGTGTGATGTACTTCTGAAACCATGGTCATTAATGCTCGGCCTAAGTGCTCCCAGTGGTAGTAACTCTCTATAGTTGAGGGGTCTACTGATCTTCTGCCCATGAATGACAAAACCAATTCTTCAGAACGTGACTTGAGAAAGATCGAGAAATCCTTTTGGAATTCTGAAAAATATGCCTCCAATTAACACGCTAACCTGGCTCGTCCTAGATATGTAGATCTTTCCCTTGTTTAGAGGTAAGCAATCTTGTTGTCCAGAGCTGGCGGAACCTGTTCAAAATAGTCATTATTTTATTTTATTTTTTTTATTTGTTAGGAGTTGATAAGTTATACGATTAAGAATAATGCTATTCATATTTAATTGTCTTGTGCAAAATATTTATATAATTAATCCTCCGTTACTAAATAATGTCTTATACGCATACACCTTGTCAATCACACCCACGTATCAAATCTGAATTTGTTGTCACTAGACCTAGATGTACCACGTTGCCATTCTCATTATTAATAATTGTACATGTAACTACCAATTTAAGATTATATCTGTTGAGATGGGTGATTAATATGCAACACCGCTAACTCTGTCAACTAGGCTATTGGTATAATGTCTTACAGCTACCTATTTAAGATGGGTGATTAATATATTACACCCGCTCTAGCTGAATAATGCCCTACATATTTAAGATGGGTGATTAATATATTACACCCGCTCTCGCTGAATAATGCCCTACATATTTAAGATGGGTGATTAATATGCAACACTCACTCGCTCTACCAACTAGGCTACTGAATAATGTCCTATGACTAAGTATTTAAAATTGTTGATTCACATGCAGCATTGTTGCTCAATGCAAAACAGCTAATTGAGGACAATTGATACTAACCATGCCTAGGTAAAACAACTTAATTGACCATAACAAGTGCTTGTCTACCTTCCTAGTTGATGCTAACCATAAGTCAGTAAAACAACTTACTTAATTCATAGGGACCATAACAAGTACTTGTCTACCTCAGTACCTAATTAATATGATCTTACTATAATTTAGACTGAAGGAGTTCATTGTTTTCGTTTTCTTTGTTAAAAATGATAAACATTATTAATGTTATGTTTGAGGGCATTGTATCATTGTCTATGATTTGAAATTGGACAAAATTTTGAATAAATTTAAATTGATATCTGGATTTGGAATTGTATTAAATTTCTTCCGATCTCAAATTCAAAGCACTAATTCATTACTGCCAAAGTTATGATAAAAAAAATTCTCAATCTTTTATAACAAAGACATTGGAGCTCACATGTAACCCACGTTCATTTGTCCTAGTTTTTCTAAAATATTTAGTAAAAATTTGAAAAAAGTTACGAAAGAAATCAATTCCAAATCAATGGACTTAAGTTTACAAATATATATATATATATATATATACATATAAAATTTCTAAATCATTAAAAAAAAAAAAAAAAAGAAAAAAAAAAAAAGGAGGAGTTCTCACACGCCGTTTACAAATGCATTTTCCCTATCAACTAGTGAAACAAACACTTGGATGCAAAAAGAGTGTCCTTTTCCCTGCGAGTGATATCAAGTTTCATTAGAATGTCAAAATGACTCAAATCTATCTACAACCTTTAATACCACGGCAGTTCAAAACTATGCTGTAAAGCGTTTTTCACCGTGGTAATTAGAAAACTGTTTTTCTTGCATGTAGTGAATCGTCACGCCATCTCAAGACCATCAACCTTCAAACTTATGCTTCCGCATTCCAACATTCAGTGTCAAGTTCATAATCAGCAAAAACCTTATTTGACCGCCCAATCAGGATCCAAGACACAACAACAGCGGTGCACCTGCCAGCCGTAGTGCGTCACCTGCCACGATAATTGTCATGTCAGACACAGTTAGCAACAGTGCTAATAGCAGTGTCACGTCACCTACCATGTCAACTGATAATTTGCCTCCATTTTCATCATGGGTTCCATCAAATTTCCAACAACTTTCATGATCTTACCTCAATCTCTAGTTGTGTTCATGATGAACTCACCTTGAGTTTGAGGGGGACTGTTATATTACAAATTTACTTATTTACCATCTAGGTTTCTTGCATATTACAAATTAACATATATGATTACACTTACCATATTAGTATCTGTAAATTACTTCACCTACCCACCAACCTTCTCATATATATAGGCTTATATAATCTTCTTATACTGAGTTTTTTCTCTTTCTTTTTTATATTTAACAAAAACCGAAAAACCTTATCTTGAAATATCTTTTCTTTCAAACTACCAAAAAAGCAAAAAAAAAAAAAAAAAAAAAAAAAAAATTTGCTATGGGCATGTATAGTTGTTAGTTTTTCAAATATATATGAAATAACAAAAAAATAACATATAGTCAATATTTTAATGTTTTTCTATTTTTGACAGCAATAAATGTTCGGATCAGATATCACCCTTTTTTTTTTTTTTTTTTTTGGTCTTCCTTTATATACTATTTCAAGTGGATAGGCGATTGATTTTTTTATTCACATTTTGATTCATATTGAAAAAAAACTGACGATAAAAAGAATAGACATGAAACAAAATTATTTAAGATAATTAAAGATTATAATAATTTGAAATTATTATTTAAAATAAATCATAACAAGACACATGACTGAGAGCCTGTGAGAAGATATGATTCAATACTAAAATAAATAAGAAAAGGTAGACATGTAAGGGAGATGGAATGGAAGGTGAGAGAATGCAACTGAATGATATATATATATATATATATATATATATACCGTGAATTGTTTTCTTTCTTTGTTTAATTACTTTTTCGCACAGGGAGAATGTATATGCGAAAAAGTAATTAAACAAAGAAAGAAAACAATTCACGGTCAGATTACTTGCAATTTTAATCATTGGTTAATTATGCTATTGTCAAAAGATTAATGATATATATATATATTCTCCCTGTGCGAAAAAGTAATTAAACAAAGAAAGAAAACAATTCACGGTCAGATTACTTGCAATTTTAATCATTGGTTAATTATGCTATTGTCAAAAGATTAATGATATATGTGTATATATATATATTAGTAAAAGGCACGTGCGATACATGTGATGAATGTTTTATAATTTATGGAAATTTTCTTTTCATATATTTCTTAATTATTTTATTTATATGTGATACAGTTCTATTTTAAAATTAATTAATAATTTTTTATATTAAAAAATAAATGCTAAAATGCTAAAATCTTTACACTTTTATACTTTATTTATATGTATTATTATATCATTATATATTTTCTTTAAATATATCATTGTCTAATGTGATAGAGTTTTATAGAAAATAAAATAAATAATTTGTGGTAGAGTTTTATAAAATAATTTGTCATTTGTGATAGAGTTTTATAGAAATTATTTTATTTTCTTTAAATATATCCATATATAGCTTGTTTTTATTTTCTTTTATTAAAAAACTCATACTAAAAGGTAATTTGAGGTAGAGTTTTAGAAAAATTATTTTATTTTTTATATCAATTATTAAATATTCTTTATATTAATAATTCTTGTCCAGTTATTATATTTTCTTTTATTAAAAAACTCATAATAAATACATAAACAGGTAAATTCTATTAGAGTTTTATATAAACTCTTTTAAAAAAATATTTTATTTTCTTTAAATATAAATAGATAAATAGGTAATTTGTGTTAGAGTTTTATAGAAACTCTTTAAATACATCTGTGTCTAATGTGATAGAGTCTTATTGAAAATAAAATATGTAATTTGTGATAGAGTTTTATAGAAATTATTTTATTTTCTTTGAATATTTCTTTCTCTAATTAGATTTGATTTTATTAAGAAAAATAAAAATAAAATATGTAATTTGCGATAGAGTTTAATAGAAATTATTTTATTTTCTTTAAATATATCCTTATCTAATTAGATTTCATTTTATTAAGAAACTCATAATAAAAGCTAATTTGCGAGAAAAAAATTATTTTATTTTATATATCAATTAATAAATATTTTTATATTAATAATTCTTGTCTAATTAGATTTTATTTTATTTAAAAATTCATAATAATAAATAGGTAAATAGATTAATTTGAATTTTATTAAATAGATTTTAGAGTTTTATAAAGTTCTTTTTAAAAAATAAAAAAATAACTCTTTTCATATCAATCAATAAATATTATTTTATATAAATAAATAAGTTCTGAAATCCTGAAACTATTTGCACATTTAATAATAAAAATCTTTTTTGCCATAGCTTCTCTATTTTATAGATAAAAACTATTTTTATATCAATTAATAAATATTTTTTTATATAAATAAATAAAAACTGAAACTTTTTGGCAAAGCTTTTGTAATTATTGGTTTATGCCCCCATTGAATTTCTAGAATTCTAAATTTTTTTTAGGAAAAACTATTTTATTTTTTATATCAATTAAAAATATTTTTTACATTAATAATTCTAGTCTAAATAGATTTTCATTTATTAAAAAATTATAATAAATAAATAAATAGGTAATTTGTTTTACAGTTTAATAGAAACTCTTTTAAAAACACTTTTTTAATCAATTAATAAATAGTTTTTATATTAATAATTCTAAATGAATATTTTTTATATTAATAATTCTTATCTAATTAAATTTCCTTTTATTAAAAAAACTCATAATAAATAGATAAATAGATAAATTGTGTTAGAGTTTTATAGAAACTCTTTTAAAACCACATTTTAGATCAATTAATAAATAATTTTTTATATCAATAATATTTGTCTAATTAGATTTCCTTTTATTAAAAAACTCTTAAAAAATATATAAATATGTAATTTGTGTTAGAATTTCATAGAAACTCTTTAAATATTATATCTTTATCTAATGTGATAAAGTTTTATTGAAAATAAAATATGTAATTTGTGATAGAGTTTTATATAAATTATTTTGTTTTCTTTAAATATATCATTGTCTAATTAGATTTAATTTTATTAAGAAACTCATAATAAAAGTTAATTTGTGGTAGAGTTTTAGAAAAATTATTTTATAATATATCAATTAATAAATATTTTTTGGTCTAATTAGATTTTCTTTTATTAAAAAATTCAAAATAATAAATAGATACATAGGTTAATTTAAATTTTATCAGATAGATTTTAGAGTTTGATAGACTTTTTTTTTTTTTTTTCTAAAAAAACTCTTTGCATATCAATTAATAAATATTTTTTAATATAAATAGATATTTAAATATTGAAACTCTTTGCACATTTAATAATAGTATAGATAAAAACTTTTTTATTTTAATTAATAAATATGTTTTTATATAAATAAATAAATACTGAAACACCTTGGCAGAGTTTCTGTATTTTACTATGAAAATTAGATTTTCTTTTATTAAAAAATTCATAATAATAAATAGGTTAATTTGAATTTTATTAGGAATATTTTAGAGTTTTATAGAGTTTTTATATATATATATATAAACTCTTTTCATACCAATTAATAAATATTTTTTTATATAAATTCATAAATACTGAAATACTGAAACTCTTTACACATTTAATAAGTATTTTTAAAATAAATAAATAAATACTGAAACTTTAGATTTACTTTTATTAAAAAATTCATAATAATAAATTGATAAATAGGTTAATTTTAATTTTATTAGGTAGATATTAGAGTTTTATAGAGTATTTTTTTCTTCTATTTATTTTTTTTATATATAAAAAAGCTTTTCATATAAATTAATAAATACTTTTTATATAAATAAATAAATACTGAAATACTGAAACTTTTTATACATTAAATATTTTATTTTCTTAAAATATATCCTTGTCTAATTAGATTTAATTTTATTAAGAAACTCATAATAAAAGTTAATTTGTGGTATTTTAGAAAATATATTTTATTTTATATATCAATTAATAAATTTTTTTTATATTAATAATTCTTGTCTAATTAGATTTTCTTTTATTAAAAAATTCATAATAATAAAAAGATAAATAGGTTAATTTAAATTTTATTAGATAGATTTTGGAGTTTGTTAGAGTGTTTTTTTTTTTTTTAGAAAAACACTTTTCATATCAATTAATAAATATATTTTAATATAAATAGATACTTAAATACTGAAACTCTTTGAATATTTAATAGTAGTATAGATAAAAACTCTTTTTATATTAATTAATAAATATTTTTTATATAAATATATAAATTCTGAAACACTTTGGTAGAACTTCTGTATTTTACTCTGAAAATTAGATTTTCTTTTATTAAAAAATTGTAATATGTAATACGTGTTAGAGTGTTATAGAAAATATTTTTAAAACTCTTTTTATATGAATTAATAAATATTTTTATATTTTAATAATTCCTGTCTAATTAGATTAACTTTTATTTTTAAAAAAACTCATAATAAAAGGTAATTTGTGGGAGAGTTTTAGAAAAATTATTTTATTTTTTATATCAATTAAAAAATATTTTTTATAATAATAATTCTGTTCTTGTTAGATTTTATTTTATTAAAAACTTATAATAAATAAATAGGTAATTTGTGTTAGAGTTTAATATAAACTCTTTTAAAAACTCTTTTTCTATCAATTAATAAATATTTTTTATTTTAATAATTCCTGTCTAATTAGGTTTCCATTTATTAAAAAACTCATAATAAATAGATAAATAGGTAATTTGTGTTAGAGTTTTGTAGAACCTTTTTAAATATATCTTTGTTGATAGAGTTTTATTAAAAATAAAATAAGTAATTTGTAATAGAGTTTTATAGAAATTATTTTATTTTCTTTAAATATATCCTTGTCTAATTAGATTTAATTTTATTAAGAAACTCATAATAAAAGCTAATTTGTGGCAGAGTTTAATAAAAATTATTTTATTTTATATATCAATTAATAAATATTTTTTATATTAATAATTTTTGTCTAATTAGATTTTCTTTTATTAAAAAATTCACAATAATGAATAGATAAATACGTTAATTTAAATTTTATTATGTAGAACGCTTTATATAAAGGTCGAGAAAGTAGTACTACACTTGATCTTAGCCAAAAGACCAAGAAAAGTTAGCCAAAAGGCCGACCTAAGCCAAAAGGCCGACCTAAAAAAATTTAATACTACACTTGATCTTAACCAAAAGGCTGAGAAGGTGTGATTATTATTTCTTTAACTCTATAGTTTTATAAGAGACTTTTATGTAATCTTTTTTACTTAAAACTAATGTGGGACTTTGTAATTTGAATTAAACTCTTTTTGTATTTTGTTAATTTGAATTACTTTTAATTTTATTAGGTAATTTAAATACTAAAATACTATTCTATATATCGTTAATTAATGAGAGTACTTTATTGTGAATTAAACTCTTTTTATATTTTGTTAATTTGAATTAATTTGAATTTTAGTAGGTAATTTTGAGTTTTATAAAATTTATATCAATTAATAAATAAATACTGAAACTCTTTGCACAAAGGTCAATAAAGTAGTACTACACTTGATCTTAGCCAAAAGATCAAGAAAGGTTAGTCAAAAAGCCGACCCAAAAAAATTTAGTACTACACTTGATCTTAGCCAAAAAGCTGAGAAGGTGTGATTATTATTTCTTTAACTCTATAGTTTTATAAGAGGCTTTCATGTAATCCTTTTTACTTAAAACCAATGTGGGACTTTGTAATTTGAATTAAATTATTTTTATATTTTGTTAATTTGAGTTAATTTTAATTTTATTAGGTAATTTTGAGTTTTATAGAATTTATATCAATTAATAAATAAATACTGAAATATTGAACTTGATCTTAGCCAAAAGACCAAAAAAGGTTAGCTAAAAGGCCGACCCAATAATTTTCAGCAAAGAGAAGTTCTATTTAAATAATAATAATACAGGATTCTAGTTGTGCGGCAAATGGATTGAAAACATGTTTTAAGTAAATTGTTTTCTTGTATTTATGTATCAAATATGGTGAACTTTTTGTCCACAAATTTTTCTGAAGGATCTTAGTTAGTTAACTGCGTTAGGTACGAGGCTGCTCCATATATAACAGAACAATATTTTAGACAAAATATCTACTTTTTCAAATTTTATTCCAACGATCCTGAGAAAATTGTAGGCTTGAATTATTGGAGTCTAGTTTTTGTTTGCTTGAATTATTAGAATCTAGTTTTTATTGAGATATTTGAAAGAAATACAATCTTTTAGTTGTCTCTTCTTCACTAATGAGCATCTTTTAACAAGGGTACACTTGATCTTAGCCAAAAAGCTAAGAAGGTGTGAATATTATTTCTTTAGTTCTATAATTTTATCAGAGGCTTTCATGTAATCTTTTTTACTTTAAACCAATGTGGGACTTTGTAATTTGAATTAAACTCTTTTTATATTTTGTTAATTTGAATTAATTTTAATTTTATTAGGTAATTTAAATACTAAAATACTATTATATTTATTGTGGGATATAATAATTAATGAGAGCTCTTTATTGTGAATTAAACTCTTTTTATATTTTGTTAATTTGAATTAATTTAAATTTTATTAGGTAATTTTGAGTTTTATATAATTTATATTAATTAATAAATAAATACTGAAACTCTTTGCACAAAGGCCAAAAAAGTAGTACTACACTTGATTTTAGCTAAAAGATCAAGAAAGATTAGCCAAAAGACTAACCTAAAAAAATTTAGTATTACACTTAATCTTAGCCAAAAGGTCAAGAAGGTGTGATTATTATTTCTTTAGCTCTATAGTTTTATAAGAGGCTTTCATGTAATCATTTTTACTTAAAACCAATGTGGAATTTTGTAATTTGAATTAAACTATTTTTATATTTTGTTAATTTGAGTTAATTTTAATTTTATTAGGTAATTTTGAGTTTTATAGAATTTATATCAATTAATAAATAAATACTGAAATACTGAACTTGATCTTAGCCAAAAGACCAAGAAAGTTTAGTCAAAAGGCCGACTTAAAAAAATTTAGTATTACACTTGATCTTAGTCAAAAGGTCGAGAAGGTGTGAATATTATTTCTTTAGCTCTATAATTTTATAAGAAACTTTCATATAATCTTTTTTACTTTAAATCAATGTGGGACTTTCTAATTTGAATTAAACTCTTTTTATATTTTATTAATTTGAAATAATTCTAATTTTATTAGGTAATTTTGAGTTTTATAGAATTTATATCAATTAATAAATAAGTACTAAAATACTGAAACACTTTACACATTTAATAATAGTATATATATATATATAACCCACCAGCTTATCAAGATGATAAAGAGATCAAGAACATCAATGAACCAAGAAGGTCAAATTTGTCACTGACTTTTTGATGAAGAGCCTTCATACAAATGTGAAAAAGTGTGTGCGAGTTAAAAATTTATTACTAAATTCCTAAATTACCCTTATACTAAGGGAAATAACAAAACTAACCCTACATATTGATTGAAAAAAGGGATTGACAATATGGTACAATATAAGGGTCTTAATAACTAGGTTGAAGACAATCAAATTGAATAACCACATAAACATTTTAATGAATTTTATTACGCACAGTGCTAGTATACAACTCTCGTCAAGTAATCAAATCACTTGAACAAAATAAAAAGAACAAAACACACACAAGAGATCCACATATATTTAATAACAGGTACAAAAATAAAATAATTATTGGGAGGCATGACAGCTAAGAATTAGTAGATTTGGCAAATTGCATGGGAGAGGGTAGGTCAAATAAACATTTGGACGAGAATACCGTTTGGAAGTTCTTAATTTAATCTCCTTATTAATATTTTTGGACTACACACACAGTGATGTACTTGTACAACATAACAATTAAGGAGCTAGCTCTTTTCCAATGTTCTCTCTGAATTTAGTTAAATCTTAGACATGGAAACAACCAAATTAATGTACTTGGTCCTGTTTTTGGACAAGTGATCATCCACAATGTCACTGTATCTCCGAAACAAATCATCCATGATGTATCTTCCAAAATGACATTCGAGCATCGACTCAACCACGGCTCTAACCGTCTTGGCCACTCTCTGACCACTTGATACTAGTGTCCCCTGGTTTTGGGCACCACCATCCCAATCAATTTCAAAGGATTCCAGGCGATCTATGAGAAATGACCCTTCTCGTTCGACCTCATTTTTCAGTTCTTCTGGGCTTGGTGTATAGTAAGGGGCATTGAAGGAATCAACCTTCTCCTCTTGAACAAGACCCTGCAAAAATATATTGCCCCTTATAATAAGAAAATGCTCAAATTTTTTTATTTTTTTATTTTTGAGAAAAATAAGAGATTAGGGTTGGTGTGATATACTTCTGAAACCATGGTCATTAGTGCTCGGGCTAAGAGCTCCCAGTGGTAGCAACTCTCTACAGTTGAGGGGTCTGCAGATCTTCTGCCCATGAATGACAAGACCATCCGTCCTCCATGCACCATTTCTTCAGAACGTGACTTGAGAAAGATCGAGAAATCTTTTTGGAATTGTGAAAAATATGCCTCAAACACGCTGACCGGGCTCGTCCTAGATATATAGATCTTTCCCTTGTTTAGAGGTATGCTAACCTTGTTGTCCAGAGCTGGCGGAACCTGTTCATAGTAGTCAAAAAAAAAAAAAATTTGGTAGGATTGAATGTCGAGTACTACCACTCTACCAACTAGGTTGACAAAATGTTAAGATGGGTGATTAATATGTTAAGATGGGTGATTAATCTGCAACACTCAACCGCTCTACCAACTAGACTACTGTCCTATGACTACCTATTTAAGATTGTTGACCATAACAAGTGCTTGTCTACCTTCCTAGTTGATGCTAACACTAGGTAAAAAAACAACTTAATTCATACGGACCATAACAAGTACTTGTCTACTTAATTACCTAATTAATATGATCTCACCCGCCGATCTTCTTACTATAATTTAGAAAACTGAAGGAGGTCATTGTTTTCATTTTCGTTGTCAAAAATGATAAACATTATTAATGTTATGTTTGAAAGTATTGAATTAGTGTCTTTAATTTAAAATTGAAAAATATTTAATACAAATTTAAATTGATGTTAGAATTTGAAATTGTACTTATATTTCTTCCAAAATATTGATTCATTACTTCCAAACATATGATAAAAAAATTCTCAATCTTTTATAACAGAGACATTGGAGTTCACTTTTTCATTTGTCCTAGTTTTTCTAAAATCTGAATTAAAAAATTGAAAAAAGTTACGAAAGAAATCAATGGACTTAAGTTTACAAAAATAAAAAATAAATTCTAAATCATTTAAAATAAAATAAAAAGAAAAGAAAAGAGTTTTCACTCGCGCTTTTACAAATGCATTTTCCCTATCAACTGGTGAAACGAACACTTGGATGCAACAAGAGTGTCCTTTTCCATGCAAGTGATATCAAGTTTCATTCGAATGTCAAAATGACTCAAATCCATCTGCAACCTTTAATATTGGGACTTCTCTCACTTTTCTTTCATTTTGTGGTGGAAATTTCTAAAATGACAAAAACACCCCTATGATCTGGTCATGAATCTTTTCTTTCCTTTGTTACAAAGGGGGAATGGACCTGAGAAAGCCAATGGAGACTAGAAGAGGAGTGCACAAAATGCAGGCTCTTGCTCGGAAACAGCCTCCCGTAATAAGTGAGAACATTCACTTTAGAGGAAAAATTTAAAGGTTTACTCAGACCTTTATTGTAAGTATTCATTTAAGTTTTATTGAATGAGATATCATATTTTATTTTTGTATAAAACTTGTCTCTATGTGATGAATCAATATTTATGAATCAAAATCATTCAAAAAGTTTTAAAATTAGCACGTTTCCCAACAACAAGTACTTGTCTACCTAATTAATTTGATCTCGCCCACCGATCTTCTAACCACAATTTAGAAAACTGAAGGAGTTCATTGTTTTTGTTTTCTTTATCAAAAATGATAAATATTATTAATGTTATATTTGAGAGCATTGAATCATTGTCTTTGATTTAAAATTGGAGAAAATTTAATATAAATTTAAATCGATATTTGAATTTGAGATTATACTAAATTTCTTTCAATCTCAAATTTAAAGCGCTGTCAAATATATGATAAAAAAAATTCGCAATATTTTATAAAAAAGACATTTGAGCTCACTTGTAAGCCATGTTCGGTTGTCTTAGTTTTTCTAAAGTTTATATTAAAAATTTGAAAAAAGTTACGAAAGAAATCAATTCCAAATCGATGGACTTAAGTTTACAAAAAAATTTAAAAAATTAAAAAAAAAAAAAAGAGTTTTCACACGCGGTTTTACAAATGCATTTTCCCTATCAACTAGCGAAACGAATACTTGGATGCAACGAGAGTGTCCTTTTCCCTGCAAGTGATATCTAGTTTGGCATGCTTATCCAAATACAAAAACACCCCTATGATCTAGTCATGAATTAACATCTCTTTTCTTTCCTTTGTAACAAAGGTGGAATGGAAAACTAACCTGAGAAAGCCAATGGAGACTAGAAGAGGAGTGCACAAAATGCAGGCTCTTGCTCGGAAACAGCCTCCCGTAAAAAGAACCCGGCACACCGGATATAAAACAGTGCTCGAACCCTCCACCTTTCTCTTCATTGAGTTTGTTGTAGAATGCTGGCAATGACTCAAATATGTCATTGAAGTCATTGCCCGGAAGATCATTCAAGGACACCCTTAACTCTGGCACGGGACGGCCAATAACCCGGCATGTGGCCGATACGATACCCACTATCTCGGAGATCACAATCAAGGTGTTGGGTCCAGATGAGCATCCCAGATCAGCAATGCCCATGCTCTCTGGAAAATTGTTGCACAAAATGTCTAGTACAGCTTCCTTGATTATTGAGTCAGCCACTGATATCACCTTCCTCTGCAAAAACTAATTATATGAGAATCAATTCCTTTAAATTCAAGTTAAAAATGTATTTAAAGAAAAATTTGGAACATGCAATGAGATCATACAAAAAAGTACGTAAATTTGGAATATATTTGATAATAAGAAGATAGGTCGGACCTGAACTGTTGAATTTTTTGCATAGCTAGTTTCTCCTTCCCCTTTGTTCATGTGAAGTACTTGCATGGTTTTCATCTCTCTCTCTCTCTCTCTCTCTCTCTCTCTCACACACACACACACACACACACACTCACAATATAAACACTTAAATTGAAGAACATCGAGATTTTGGTGCTCTATATATAGACCATGTCAAATAATTAACACGTGGTTGGCAAAAACCAGGAAAATAAAAACGGCTTATATATAAACATGTGGCATGGAAAGAGTCTTTAATAAAACAACATACAGGGTTCACGAGACATAGGTATGAGTATATTCGCCAAGCATTTATAGCTACCATGCAATATGGGATAGTATTAAATGGGAATGGAAAACGAAGAATATTTATCTTTAAGCCAAGAGAAAAACTGATTACAAATGTGAACGCAGTATTCTAATTAGAGTTAATTATTCTAAATTTTGCGAACTTGTGGACGAAAGTTAGGGTCAATAATTCAATAATTTAAATTAATTAATTTAAATTTTGTTGCGAAATTGTATTTGGATAAGCATGCCAACTGCCTGTTAGGGTCAATAATTCAACGTAAACTAAAGAGAGTAACGTAGACATCTGACTTTTTTCCTTTCTCACTTGGTTTAGGCTCCGTTCAAATTGAATAATTTGAAGGGATTTAAAAAAGAAAAGAAAGAATAGCTTAAAATGTGTTTGAAAATATATGAGATCATGTGGGGGACTTAAATATATAACCTTATGTTAGAAAAAAAAAAAAAAGAAAAAAAAAAGTGATCCACTTAAATTTTTATGTCATGTTGAAATGTATTCTAATCGAGTTAATTGTAAATTTCGAAATAAGAGTCAAAATTGGTCCCGCAATAAACATATATGGTTTTATTAAAATGCATGATATATATATTTGGATGGATTGTAAACTCTAAATATGTGTTTTCATCCTACTTACTCCTGACTTGCAATGTTATCATTGCAGTCGGACCACCTTGCTTAACTAACTTGGACCAAACACCTCCCAAATGGGCAAATACAGGTGGGGGCTTGGCATGATCACATCGGATTTAGGATTGGGTCTCTCTTTTAATATCACTGTATCGGATCATGTCCAACTTACTGACGTAAAAGTTTAAGCGATTGGGTAGTATTGTATACCCACCTACATAAACCGTATACTTTTTCTATCCAAATTCAATGTGGGACAAGAACACACCTCTAACACTAGTGTAACGGGTGGGCACTTGCCCATTTACCCAAAAGCTCGAACTGTTGGGTAGTGTTGCATACCCACCCATTTATACCCATGTCACTTCCCATCCGGATCCGATGTGGGACAAGTTTTCCCTTGTAACATTCTACCCCACCCGTACTCGCAACGCCCTCGTTGCGGTTGGGCCACCCTGCCTACCCGGGGTGGCACACCCGGACGCCTTCCGGGCCGGGCGCTTGGCGTGGCACCGGATCAAGGACTGAACCTGGCTCTGATACTAACTGTAACGGGTGGGCGCTTGCCCATTTACCCAAAAGCTCGAACTGTTGGGTAGTGCTGCATACCCACCCATTTATACCCATGTCACTTCCCATCCGGACCCGATGTGGGACAAGTTTCCCCTTGTAACAACTAGCCTAATAAGGGAGAAACTCACTTAGCCTTCCCAATCTATTAATAATAGAGAGCATATAATAAATGAGGTGGTTCAAAGAATTCAGGGCCAACGATGTTTGGTTCAACATATCAATGGGAGCAAACGAATATGACAATAGGTAAGGGTCAACCACTATAAATAAAATTGTATGACCATCATATCTTGTAAATTTCCTCAATTTTTGTCCATCATTTGCTATATATGTTTCTTTCTAATTGGAGGGTGACCTTTTGATGAATCGGTAAGGTTTCTCCATCATGACTCTCTATGGATAATGTTATTTTCAATGTGGGCATGAGATGGATGATCCCCACATCATTTCCACTACATGTATGGTCAATATATGACCGTTTAGTAAGCTATCGAGGAAACAAATTGTTTTTTGAGTAAATTACACTGACCTCCCTGTGGTTTCGTTAATATATGGTGACCTCCCATCTTGTTTGTCAAATTACACTTATCTCCCTTGAAATTTCTATGTAAATAACACATTCCTCCCATTCGTTAATGATTAGCATGGTCAACGATGAAAAATTCAAATGTCTGCAATTTTGTAACTTTTAAATTCTAATTTTACCCTTAAAAGACATGTTTCTTGTATTAATATATAGTATATATAAGGACAGAAAAGTAATTACAAACCCATGCCAACAAGTATGATAAAGAGAGGTTGGTGTAATTTGACAAATAAAAGAGAATGTCAATATTGACAAAACTTCAAGAAAGATCTGTGCACCATTGATTTTTTTAGTCAATCTAATTAAGCTCTTCTTGGAACAATAACATTTACCATGCAGAAAAAGTAAACCAAATATTTTATAATAATTCGCGCAAGGGAGGAAGTTAATGGACAGTCACGTTAAAAAAAAAAACATTTACATATTGTTCCTTTGGATAGTTGCTATTTTGCAAATGTCCAACCGGCCTATAATATTAGGTCTCACACTAGAATTAATGAACCTAAGGAGAAATAAAGTAAGAATAAACATGGTATTTATATCTCAACAATTCTAAATGACATTGACGATTCAAGTTTTATCCAACACAAAAGTGTACTAGTCAACTTGTAGTCACTTTCTAGGGGAAGAAAAGATGGTGGCATTTTTAGGGAGGGTTGCGTTATTGAATGAGAATCATATATATCTATCTCATTTGCATCACACAAGCAAGTGGCCATTATGACGAAGACTTTAGAACCTAGTATCATATTTCATATTTGTATTCTCAATTTGTCACGTCAACTACTTTAATTAAAAGGACACAACACATGTTCCATGCTTAATTAAGCTGCATCAAGTCAACATGTTTGCGTATATATGACATGGTATATATATGCCGTGTGATATATAAGCAGTGTTTGATTTTTGTAATCGAACTGTGCTATATATTCCTTTAATCACACATATGTTGCAGATCGAATGCTTGGGACGTACTTAAAAATATGACTCGGTTTAGTTTTGGAGCCTTAAACTCACTTATAACCAGATATATTAAGAGTAGATATTCAGTGAGTTGGGCATGCATAGTTAATCAGAATACAACATTCAAATAAGAACTTGTCATGGCCCCGAATTCGTAGGACTCGATCCGTGAACAGAAAGAAATATACACAGTCCGACTCTCATTTGGACCCAAGGATGGTCACCTAAAATATTCCAAAACTGTTTCAAGTACAAGAGAGTTAAAAAAAGACAATATTGTGCCTGGTGGGTGAGGACCGTTACAAAACTTTTGTCCACTAATAGAAATTAAATACCTGTGGATAAGTTGTTAAATTAACGCGCTACCTCAAGATTGAGATAGACTCTACAGATTACGATAAAGATTAAACTTACAGATTACGATAAAGATTAAGCTTACAGATTATGATAAGGATGAAGAGAATGGTAACTCTACACGTGACATCTTGACCTAAGCCCTATCAATAAAGGGGGCTAATCTTCTTTTGGTGGTACGCAATAAATCCTAACTCAATTTCTTGATTTCTCCATAGAGATTACTTCGCACACTGACTTGTTCGTCGGAGCCTACTTCACCGGTAACAAACCGATTTTAAGTCCACAGTAATTGATTTAATTTCAAAACTTTTATCGTTTTTCCTGAAAATTTCGAAGACGAGGATAACAAACGTCGTTAACAAGTTAGTCGACATATATATTCTTTTCACGATGTCTATAATTTTCCACAATGAAAGCAAAAACCTTCAGTTTTCTAGAAGATCATGTTAACTAGTTAGACAAGCATTTGGTTAGTGGTCCCCAATGAAGTTCATTTTCCTCCCAGAATAGTAGTTGTGTTGAATTAAAGGGCCTTTAGAAAGAAAGGGATGGACCATCCATGTGTTTGCTCATGGCCCTGGGGACCAGAACTGGACCAAATGGCACTTGTATTTGGGCAGCTGAAAATTTGAATGTTTATCATTGACTAACATTGTTGCATACTACCGACCGACCTCGTACCCAAAAAAAAAAAAAAAACATTAAGTTGCATACTACCAACCGACCTTGTACCTACATGTACCATTAATAAGATGTTCCAAAAGAAAAAATTCGGAAATCTTATTTATTCACACCAGATTTTTTTTTTTTTTTTTCCCTTAATGCACTAAAGAAGGCCAGAGTCCGAGATGTACCAACCTATTATCTCTTTTAACAAGACTCAAGAAAAAAATACCAAAAAAAAAAAAAAAGTCTAAAAAACTAAGTTATATATGTTAGATAAATTATCTTTAGGCGGGACAAAAAAACAATTAAAAAAAAAAAATTTAAAAAGAAAGTTAAATTTATAGTATTAAGGGTAATTATGGTATTTTAAATTAAGGAATGGTGCATTATTGAATTTATGGACATTCTTATCATTTTTCTTAGAGAAAAAAGACAAGTGGAGTGCAAGTGAAGAAATATGGAGTGCAAATATGGCTCCCTATTTTTAAGGGTAATTGTAGTATTTTAAATTAAAAACAAGATAGCTACTATATTAAAAAGGAAAATGATTCTTACACCAAAGTGAGTGAAACCATTTATTAAGTATAAATAGTCACTTAAAAATTATTCAGTTAGACAAAAGTGTAAGTTTTCGGTGTAAATATCACTATTTTATTAAAAATTAGTGTTAATGAGTAAATATATCATTACACCTCTTACACATACCCCCAAATGGGATAAGAGGTCCCATAAAAGTACTATTAATGCTTTCTATATTTTTAATTTCTTAATTATGTTTGAATTGTCTTACATATTTATATTGGTTTAACATTAAACTTCTTTTCACTGTGTACGTAATTAAAAAGCAATTTGCCCTCCCCTATATTATTAAACCTCCCAACTTGAAATTTTAAGAAAATTTTGGTGCTAGCTTGTTCATAGAAGATGGCCAATATTCTTCGCCTCTCCTTAATTTTTTGCATCCTCCTCGTTCCCATGTCCGGTAATATTTCTCCTTTCCATTTTTTTTCAGTATGCTATAACGTCTCATGCTTACACGAAGACAAAAACTAGTAC